TATAAAAGAATGTGTTTCAATTTAAGGAATAATCATTCTAAATTAGGTGACTTTGGTGAGTTTAAAAAATATATACAGAATCTGAGATTTTATGAAGCTACAAACTGGCCATTAAGAGTAGGGACTACAGTCAATATCAATGACCAGATAATGGTGTGGTAGTTTTCTCCGAAACAAATATTAAAAAATACTCTCTCTCTCTCTCAAAAACAAATAAACATTAGAAAAATAAATAATAATAATAAACATAAAAAACTAAATTCATTAATCAGCTGCTCCCATGAGTTTCCTCCTGAAAAGTGTCCTTTCAAAGGAGGCATCACACCAAGATGGCGGCGAGGAGACACAACCCAGCCGCGGTCTCCCCACAAATGTCAACAATTACAAAGATATCCACCAACCAAAACACCTCTCCAAGAGTTTTGGAATCCACTTTAGAAACTTCAGCAACACCGCGGAACGAAAGGCCTGACCATCACCACACAAAAAGAGAAGGAAAATAGCTTCATTTGCCAGCATCATCCCATCCCCCAAGCCAGCTTTGCTCAGCACCGAAAAAGAACTTCCAGCTAGAAAGAATTCTCCTCCCTGAAAAAGGAAGAGCTAGTGGGGTGAGCAAACAGTTTCCCTGGCCTTTCGGGGCACGAAGGTGCCACTGTGATTTCACCCTATTCAGCAAAGCCGAGAGCTATACAGACAGGAACATGAAGAAAAGCAGGGCCTACCCGTAGCAGCCACACAGCAGAAGGATCGTCGTTCACGGGCAACTCCTTTACAGATCAATCCAGCGGTTTTCACCCCGGAAGAAGGAGCCACAGGCCAGCACAGCTGCCATGGAGCCCCTGCAGATTTTACCAGCATCTGCCCCACAGGTATTCATGTTCGCGAAAGGCAGCAGCCTTAACCCGCGTCTGTTCCCCTGGCCCTCGGCAGCTCAGAGCGCCCTGACTTGCGTGCGAGCTGGCCTGTGTGGTTGCGCAAGCGCAAGACCCTCCCTCGAACCAGAGGGCTGACTCCCACTGTCCTGCTTGCGCTCAAGACTCACCGCTCCAGCTGTGAGCCTGCATGCCCCCAATACAACCCGCTGCGCTGGCCTCTGCCGCTGTACGCCCATGGCAAGACCCATCACCCAGGTAATCCATGCCGACAGCCAGGATGCCTGCAGCTACCAGTGTGCCCACAGTGAGCCCCAACCTTTGCTGCCCGTGCAGGCCCACACCTCTACGTCTGTGTCTGCAGCTGGTGCTTGCCACTACACAAGCACCTGCAGCTGACTCCTGCAGCGGAGTGTGTGAACACCATCACTTCTGGCTACCGCCGCTGCCTGCCTTAATCCCTAGCCATTGGAACTGGAAGTGCCACTAAGGACCTCAACAGACCTTGGAGCCGCTGTAGACCCATGCCCCCACCCCGCATTCCCCCACCCTCACCCCTCAACCCCCCCGTGCAGCCTTCACCAAGGACCACAGACTTGTAGACGCTGTGGACTCCAGGCCTGAGTTGAAGACATATCGTGTCCTGGGCCACAGGACACCCCAGCATGCCCCCACCCACAAGTGAGAGTCAGAAAGACCAAAGTCAGTCCATAAAGTCTAGAAGATGAGGCTTCTTCTTCTATCAGGTAAACAATCTCCAAAATAGTATTTATTTTATCTTTGTAGAACTCGTACAATTCAGCAGTGAAAAAAAATATGATTTTTTAAAAATGGCCAGAGTAGACATTTTTCCAAAGAAAATATCCAAATGGCCAACAGGTAGGTAGATAAAAATGTTCTCAACATCACAATTAGCAGGGAAATGCAAATCAAAATCACAGTGGTGGGGTGCCTGGGTGGCTCAGATGGTTAAGCATCCGACTTCAGCTCAGGTCATGATCTTGCAGTTGGTAGGTTCCAGTTCTGCATTGGCCTCTGTGCTGACACCTCAGAGCCTGGAGCTTGCTTCAGATTCTGTGTCTCTCTCTCTCTGTCCCTCCCCGACGTGTTCTCTCTCTCTCTCTCTCTCTCTCTCTCTCTCTCTCTCTCTCAAAAATATATAAACATTATTTAAAAAAAAACAAAAACAAAATCACCATGACATATCACTGCACACCTACTAGAATGGCTATCATTGAAAAGACAAGAGATTACAAGTGTTGGAGAGGATATGGAGAATAGGGAACCCTTCTGCACTGTTAATGGTAATGTAAATTGGTAGAGCCATTGGGGAAAATAGTATGGAGACTCGTTAAAAAATTAAACTCCCATGTTCATTGCAGCATTATTTACAACAGCCAAGATATGGGAACCACCTAAGTGTCCATCAATGGATGAAGGATAGATGTGGTATATATATTCAATGGAATATTATCCAGCTTTAAAAAAAGGAAATCCTGCCATTTGTGATAAAATGGATGGACTTTGAGGAAATTATGCCAAGTGAAGTAAGTTGGCCAGCAAAAGACAAATATGATCTCACTTATATGTGGAATCTAAAAAAGCTAAACCAGGGGTGCCTGGGTGGCTCAGTTGGCTAAGCAGCTGACTTTGGCTCAGGTCATGATCTCACGGTTTGTGAGTTTGAGGCCCACGTCAGGCTCTGTACTGACAGCTCGGAGCTTGGAGCCTGCCTCAGATTCTGTGTCTCCCTCTCTCTCTAGCCCTCCCCCGTTTTCGCTCTGTCTCTCTCTTTCAAAAATGAATAAATGTTAAAAAAAATTAAAAACAAATAAATCAATAAATAAGTAAATAAGCTGAATTCATAGAAACAGATAGTAGAATGGTGGTTACCAGGGACTCGGGGGTAGGGGGAATGGGGAAATGTCAGTCAAAGGGTACAAACTTCTAGTTATAAAATGAGTAAGTTCTGAGGATCTAATGTACAAACATGGTGGTTATAGTTAATAGTACTGTATTACATACTATAAAATTGCTAAGATAGTATATATGTTCTCACCACAAAAACGAAATGATAATTATGTGACATGATACAGGTGTTAGGTAATACTATGGTGGTAATCATTTTGCAATATAGAAGTGTATCAAAGCATGTCGTACACCTTAAGCTTACAGTGTTATATGTCAACTATGTCTCAATAAAGCTGGGGAAAAAGGAAAACTGCCATTTTCTGAATTTATTATGTGAGATAGAATATAGGGCACAACTAAAGAAACAGAGAAACCAGCACAGAAAGCTTAGAATCTAATTATTTCTGTTGCCTGCTTTCTTCTCATGTTTTCCCTGTTTTTGACTAGAGACACTGGTGTTAATCTCTCCAACTCATGAAAGAATAGAACCAAATAACATGTATATTTGTTTCATCTTATACTGGATGAAATATGAGATTATTGACTTAATAATGTTCTGATAGACACAAATGAGCCTTAGGAGGGGGAAGAAAACCTCAGTTTTACATTCTTAAATATATGTTTTCCCTAAGGAAAAAAAAAAAAAAGCCCCACATTCCTGCTCATTCATTCATTCAACACTCAGTAAATTTTATTAGGTACTAAATATGTGCAAGGAACTCACCTAGGAACTGAATATATACTATAAACAACACAGATCCTGCTCTAGTGGAAATTACATTCTAGTGAGGGGACACAGAAAAAAAACAACACACAACTAAGTACATAATATGTTAGTGGTGATAAGTGGTAGGAGAAAACTAAAAGAGAAGATATACTGTACGGTCTGAGAGTCTCCTTTGACTTCCTTGAAAGGCAACGTTTGAGGAGGCACCTGACTAAAATAAGTAAGCTCTGTGTAACCGAAAACTATGCTGTGGAGCAAGCTATGGGGATCTGGAATTAAAATATTCCAGGAAAAGGGGATAGTAAGTGGTCTGAGAAGAAACTTGCTTGGGGTGTTCACAGAAGGCAATTTAAGTAAGCAGTGTGAGGAAGGGTATATATTTGCTAGGGTTGCCATAACAATATACCAAAGACTGGGTGGCTTAAATAACAGAAATTTATTTTTTCACAAATCTGTAGGCTGTAAGTCCAAGGTCAAGGTGTCAGCAGGGTTGGCTTCTTCTGAGGACCTTTTTTCTTGACTTGTAGATGGCTGCCTACTCACTGTGTCCTCACATGATCTTTCCTCTGCATGTGCCTGTATCCTATTCTATTCTTACAAGGACACCAGTCACCAGTCATATTGGATTAGTGCCCACCCTCATGACCAGATTTAACTTAATTACCTATATAAAGGTCATTATCTCCAAATATAGTCACATTCTGAGATACTGGAAATTAGACTTCGACATGCAAATTTTAAGGGACAAAATTCATTCCATAGCAGATTGGACGATTGTGGGAGAGAACAGCTGCTTTTGTTTATTTGTGGTTTTGGGGTGTGTGTGTGTGTATGTGTGTGTATGCAATTTTTGCTTTTGTTTTTGTTTCTGAGTGATTAAGACTGAGACCAAGAGACAATAGGAGAAGTGGGAGAGTGAGTTTGGGTAAGTCTGTCATGGAGTTTTGCTCTAAAGTAGAACAGTAAAATGGGAACAGTAAAGTAGAACAGTAAAAACAGTATCCTAAAAGCACATGGCAAAAAAAGGAGGGCCCTTTCTAAGCTGAAATATTGTATATTATACTTCTGTTCTTATGGAGAAAAAGGAAGAGATAACTATAGAGAAAAGATTCCTCTAACAGGGTCGGTATAAGATGAACTGTATTAATAAAGTATTTGGACTCACACAGGAAGGTGAACAAGTGATTCCTTCTCTGTTACGTCATTCTTGGGCTTCTCCATCTGTTTAAATGCATCATTATCTCCTACTACTTCAAGTTTTAAATATTTTAAAAAGCAAATAATAAAAAATTAAAAGAAAAAAGCAAAGAAGGAAGGAAGACAGGAAGGGAGAGGGGTTGATTGTTTATTGGCTCATAAAGTAGAATTTCTTTTTCTTAAGAGTTGGCCTAAAAATTCTTAGGAAAGGAATAGTCTTTACTTGGAAATGACTTGTTTAAGAGTAGAACTTGTGGGGGCGCCTGGATGGCTCACTCAGTTAAGTGTTCGACTTGAGTTCAGGTCATGATCTCACAGTTCATGACTTCAAGCTCCACATGAGGCTGTGCTGACAGCTTGGAGCCTGGAGCCTGCTTCAGATTCTGTGTCTCCCTCTGTCTCTACCCCTCTCTCACTAATGCTCTGTCTCTCTGTGTGTCTCAAAAATAAAATAAACATTAAATTTTTTTAATTTTAATTTTAAATAAATTAAATAATAAATTTTAATTTTAAAGAAATTAAATAAACAATAAATTTAAAAACTTAATTTTTTTAATGTTTCTTTTATTTTTTTTTCTTTTAAATTTTTTTTAATATATGAAATTTATTGTCAAATTGGTTTCCATACAACACCCAGTGCTCATCCCAAAAGGCGCCCTCCTCAATACCCATCACCCACCCTCTCCTCCCTCCCACCCCCCATCAACCCTCAGTTTGTTCTCAGTTTTTAACAGTCTCTTATGCTTTGGCTCTCTCCCACTCTAACCTCTTCTTTTTTTTTTTTTTCCTTCCCCTCCCCCATGGGTTTCTGTTAAGTTTCTCAGGATCCACATAAGAGTGAAACCATATGGTATCTGTCTTTCTCTGTATGGCTTATTTCACTTAGCATCACACTCTCCAGTTCCATCCATGTTGCTACAAAGGGCCATATTTCATTTTTTCTCATTGCCACGTAGTATTCCATTGTGTATATAAACCACAATTTCTTTATCCATTCATCAGTTGATGGACATTTAGGCTCTTTCCATAATTTGGCTATTGTTGAGAGTGCTGCTATGAACATTGGGGTACAAGTGCCCCTATGCATCAGTACTCCTGTGTCCCTTGGATAAATTCCTAGCAGTGCTATTGCTGGGTCATAGGGTAGGTCTATTTTTAATTTTCTGAGGAACCTCCACACTGCTTTCCAGAGCAGCTGCACCAATTTGCATTCCCACCAACAGTGCAAGAGGGTTCCCGTTTCTCCACATCCTCTCCAGCATCTATAGTCTCCTGATTTGTTCATTTTGGCCACTCTGACTGGCGTGAGGTGATACCTGAGTGTGGTTTTGATTTGTATTTCCCTGATAAGGAGCGACGCTGAACATCTTTTCATGTGCCTGTTGGCCATCCGGATGTCTTCTTTAGAGAAGTGTCTATTCATGTTTTCTGCCCATTTCTTCACTGGGTTATTTGCTTTTCGGGTGTGGAGTTTGGTGAGCTCTTTATAGATTTTGGATACTAGCCCTTTGTCCGATATGTCATTTGCAAAGATCTTTTCCCATTCCGTTGGTTGCCTTTTAGTTTTGTTGGTTGTTTCCTTTGCTGTGCAGAAGCTTTTTATCTTCATAAGGTCCCAGTAATTCACTTTTGCTTTTAATTCCCTTGCCTTTGGGGATGTGTCGAGTAAGAGATTGCTACAGCTGAGGTCAGTGAGGTCTCTTCCTGCTTTCTCCTCTAAGGTTTTGATGGTTTCCTGTCTCACATTCAGGTCCTTTATCCATTTTGAGTTTATTTTTGTGAATGGTGTGAGAAAGTGGTCTAGTTTCAACCTTCTGCATGTTGCTGACCAGTTCTCCCAGCACCATTTGTTAAAGAGACTGTCTTTTTTCCATTGGATGTTCTTTCCTGCTTTGTCAAAGATGAGTTGGCCATACGTTTGTGGGTCTAGTTCTGGGGTTTCTATTCTATTCCATTGGTCTATGTGTCTGTTTTTGTGCCAATACCATGCTGTCTTGATGATGACAGCTTTGTAGTAGAGGCTAAAGTATGGGATTGTGATGCCTCCTGCTTTGGTCTTCTTCTTCAAAATTACTTTGGCTATTCGGGGCCTTTTGTGATTCCATATGAATTTTAGGATTGCTTGTTCTAGTTTCGAGAAGAATGCTGGTGCAATTTTGATTGGGATTGCATTCAATGTGTAGATAGCTTTGGGTAGTATTGACATTTTGACAATATTTATTCTTCCAATCCATGAGCAGGGAATGTCTTTCCATTTCTTTAAATCTTCTTCAATTACCTTCATAAGCTTTCTATAGTTTTCAGCATACAGATCCTTTACATCTTTGGTTAGATTTATTCCTAGGTATTTTATGCTTCTTGGTGCAATTGTGAATGGGATCAGTTTCTTTATTTGTCTTTCTGTTGCTTCATTGTTAGTGTATAAGAATGCAACTGATTTCTGTACATTGATTTTGTATCCTGCAACTTTGCTGAATTCATGTATCAGTTCTAGCAGACTTTTGGTGGAG